GTGACCTAAAGCAACACTAGTTGCACAGTAAAGGTCCCTGCAAATGAACACTTGTTCTACTTGCCTTTCTTCTACCTGTGCGTGGCATCTATCGAGAGCTACGCATGGTGAAGAATCTTTTGCATTGGATTATTTGCAGGTGTATAGATGGCTGGGTCCCCTGCTGTGGGCTGTGGTTCAATCCACTGGCCCCAGATATGCTACAGGACACCGCAGTGATGTAGGGGTCTCCAGATGGGACTGCATCACTCTGTAAGAGATTAGACTAGCTACATGCCTGTAATTGTCTTGTGCAGAAATACTTTGCTAGCCATAGCTCAAAAACTAGAGAGCCAAGTATTTGTATTTTTTTTTTTTTTAAACTGATACTCCCAAATTTAATAACCACATTATATTCTGTTTTTGGTAGAGGATGTGGGCTGTAGACACCTAGGAAAGTACACAAGTAGCTTAACACACCCGGAGTGTATATATAAGGAAGGCAGTACACTTTGAAACCATATATTCAACCATAAATTCAAGGAAATGGGGCAGCAGTAAGTGGGTAATGTGAGAGCGAGCAGCAGTAAATCTCTTGCCGTTAAAGCTTCTGTAATGAGCAGAAATCTTTCAAGCTGCCAAACAGTTGCCCTGGAGTTAAATAGTTGTGTGCAAGGTCAGCCTTCCTTTCTTAGCATTCTGCAGTCCTCTATAGAGTATGAAGAATGTAATCTATGCAAAAAACATTGCTGTACTTTTATAGCTGAAACGTTTTTAAGATTGTAAGGTGTGGCCCAACAGACACGGAAATACTTTTTTTTTTGCCTTCTATGGTAGGCATTCGCTGACCATCCCGTATGGACATGTCAAATAGCTTTGCCATTGATGGTGAACATCCATGTAATATCTTTAAGAGTAACACGGACAACTGTTGACAAAACCACTTCGTAATAAACTGTCCACAGATTGACCGAAAGCTGTGATAGTAGGTCAGGTATTATGAATAGGTGGAGGTCACATGGTGTTTATAGTTTAAGCAGGACAAGTGTGGATACCAACACCTCCACAGAATCTCAGTGAAGTACCGGGGGAGCAATTCTCTAAAAGCACCAAAATATTTACAGGGAAAACAAGATTAAAGCCTCTATAAATGCTTCCTGTTACCTGAACTGTATAAGCATTTTTAATAGCTGAAGCAATATTTATTATTATTGGTGACACCTAAATTGCAACAAGAGCTTTTAAAGGATTAATATTCTGCTGAATAATTAGAACAATATAATATCTGCTTTTCTAATGGAGCAAGTAATGTTCCATCTATTTTTAATCATTGGTCCAGGTTATGACATGAAAATATTTAAGTGCTCTGAGCTACATAAGTGTTTAGACTTTTGTGCTGTTTCCTAGAGGAGTTCCTTTGTACAAGGGAACCATTGTACTGGCGCATGTTAGATTGTGCGTTATCCAAGCAAGCCTTAACTGGGCCATACTGTTCACAAAGCAACACCTAAATCTATAATTCCCATGTAAAGCCAGTATGGATGACCTCATTGCATTGCCTCATGTTTGTATACTGTTGATGCTGCATCATTCCTAGGGAGTCTCTTCTGGAATCAATAATAAATTACATTTACAACAATTTTATATTCCTATTTTAAAAAAAAATAAATACAGTGTTCTGTACTACACTAAATTTTTTCTCTAAAAGTAGTGATGAAAAAAGCGCGCTGGATTTTACCCAATGTTTTATTTGCTTATTATTGGTGTGTAACTGGGGGTATGGCAGGGTGTGTCCTTTGCATTCATAATGTGTACTAAAAGGCGCCCCTCTTTTCCCTCTTAGAAAGCCGGAGGCATGGCGACTTACTGATTTTTTCATCATATACTTGGTCCCAAATGAGTCCTACCTTTTTTTTTTTTTTTCTGCAGAAACATTTGGGCTGACTATTGGCCATTAGGCCTCTGTTCAGTATCTCCAGTCTTCCTCCATAGGACGCCTTTTTTTATTTTTTTTTATTAGTCGTCTTTGTGCTTATTTATGGGCCAGTATAATCACACCTGGCAGCTACAAGAATACGTATTTCATACTGGCTATTTCTGGCAACAGGAGGAGCTTTATGCTTCTTTGTGTTTATCAGGCTAATCTTAACTGCTTTGCAGAAACATTAATTAAACTGATGACCAAAAGCTTATAAATATCAAGTCCGATACTTACTGCAGTATCTATCTCACTAGCAGGGCAAAAGGTTCTTTGTAATGTTTGGTTTTCTAGAGCAATTTAGTAGTTGTCTTTCATTGCTCTGAATGCTGTATTAATTGAGTTAAATGGGTGGTATCTGCCCTTGACACTTTACTGGTGCTGTTTACACTGCCTTATAAAAATTGAACTCAAGAAATAGGCATCATTGCTGCAAGCAGAGGTGGTAATAATTTTACATCAATTGGTCTGCTCTTTTTACACAGCCCTCCAGGTTCTCCAAGTAATCTTGGCTTCTTCCCAGCCACAGCAAGTGCCAGCAGCATGCCTCCGCACAATGGAGCCACAATGGTGCGCATGCAGGGTTTGGCATATAACTCTGGTGTAAAAGAGATCCTAAACTTCTTCCAAGGTTATCAGGTATGGTCTACCTTTACCGTATGTTAAGACTTATTGGTTAGCTTATCAGTTCTAAATGCATTTTGCACACAAGGTCTGTGTTTGTGGTGGTAAACCTGCTTGGGATTTGGTCACCTTTTCCTCATGGTCATATGTCTCCCCAGAAGGCGACCTTATTACGGTTCTGATATAGCACAGACAAAAGGAAGCAAAAAGATTTGTGTAGTATATGAAACCAATGCATAAAACCTTTTTTTTTCTCCTTGGATAGAGTGGGGAAGGGTTAAAACTCCTTGGATATATTACCATCTATACCCTTTTACTTTCTGTTCCAGGAGCACAACCGGTAATTGGTAGAAAATTGCTAAAAGTAATTCAAATGTTGTCTATGGTCACCAGATCTGGTGCCCCATTGGAAATTTCCCCTCATCGCTTGTTTTGACAACTGTAACATTTTCTATTTCCCCTAACTTTCTGTCCTAGTGACAACAGTTACTCTCCTAGCAAAGACTGTAATAAAACGAACAAATATGTGAACAATAAATGAGTTACTGATATATACACTTGTTATCGTTCTCATACTGCTCAATATCCTCTTTAAAATTTACCATCACCAAGAGAATGATAAAAATACATTTGAAAGACAATATTGTCATAATTACATCACTTCTCCTGCAGTTATATTTAGCTAACACTTCATATTCAGTTCAAAATGATAAAAACACAATAGGAGTATGTTCTTATGAACTTTTTAAAAGTAGTAGTTGATGCGTGGCATGATATGTCATAAACCTGTTCATGAAATATAGTCTCCAAGTTTTTATTATGCAAGTTGCTGCTAAATATCCGGTGATCCTGCCAGTTCCCCTTGGGTTTTTGTTTCAAACTGACCACGGCAATCATGGAAGCAGATTCATGCTGGCGTGGTTAGTTTGTGTCCCTGGGAGGTAACTTCTAGCAAAACAGGCGTACCTCTAACTCCTGTTTGCTAGTTGTGACCACACAAGAGTATTTTATATCTCCAGGCAGCCTCACAGCTTATTTACTGGTCATGAGCGCGGACTCCTACACATCCATGTACTTCATGGATTTAACATGGGTGTGTTACAATGTTAATTGAATTGCACATTACCGCAGAAGTGAAGATGCGCTTTGTTAAGCTGGCCATACACCTATAGATTATCTGCAGATTTTCTATGGTCAGATGGAAAAAGTGCAACAGATTCCTCTAGCTACGCTAAACTGTGTGGATGGAGGAATCTCTCACTGGACCAAGCCTAAGGGGCTGACACTCAAAATACCTAAACACTGCCTGCATCCAATCGGATTGTTTGAGCAGGCGGGGGCCAACTAGCGAGATACTGAAGCTTGGCTCAGTGGGAGATTCCTCCATCCACACAGTGTAGCTTAGATGGAGGAATCTGTTGCACTTTTTCCATCTCCCCATAGAAAATCTTCAGATAATCTACAGGTGTATGCCCAGCTTAAATGTCATTTGTTTCTTGCATTCCCATTGAAAAATGGCAGTGTACTTCTTGTGCCTAGGCACTTTTTGTTATGTAGTCCATAGCTTCATATTAGTCCATAGCATTATATCTGTAGCCTCATGGGATTTGGTGATCTTAACACTGTGCTTCTCACTGAGGACTTGCTGGAGAGAAAGCTGGACCCAAGGACCTGCAGTGGTCGTTTCACTACTCACAGGAAAGCTCACACATAAGGAAACAAAGAGGGCTGTGTCATGAGACACAATGGGGAACAATGTATAGGAAGTTCATTGAAACTATTGGCTACTTGGAGCATACAGGGAATACTGGTAACTAGTCCTTTACCTTCTGTGTGCCTTTTGTGGGCACTGCTGTCACATTACAAGTTCTTAACACATAGTATAGGCTGCACATAACAGGAGGGGGTGATGTAAATATGACAATATTGGCTGTTTTAATGGTGATTTTTTTTAAATTGATCTTGAAGTAAAATTAAGATGAAAACAAATGCACATATTAGTACCTCCAGGGCTCAAAATTTCCACTCGCCTGCTCGTATTTGGCGAGTAAAAATTGAGGGCAAGTGGAAATTTGGGTCTCCAAGTACCGGTCCGCAGGCCAACTCCGGCCTTCTAGCCGGTACTATGTGGCCCGCAGCCAGTTGACATGTCAGGCACATGGTCGCAGACCGTGCACTTGACTTACGGGAGCAGTTCCACGTTCTGCATCTGTGTCGGATGCAGACCGCAGAGCAGCTCCTCTCGGCTCTGGCTTCCTTCGGCCGGAGCTCTGACAGTTCTGAGCTCCGGCCGAAAGAAAGGATGTATGTGAGGCGGATCGATCCCTGGTTATCTGGGGGTGATTAATGAGGTCTGCTGACCTTACTAATAACCCCCAGATAACCAGGGATCAATCCTGCTCAAGGCCTTGGGGGGTTAATAAGGGGAGTATATTTTGTGTGTGTGGGGGGGTTAATAAGGGGAGTATATTATTTTGTGTGTGTGGGGGGGCTTATAACGCGGGGGGGGGGGATTTTTTGTGTGTGGGGAATTTTATTATATTTGTGCGGGAGGGGGGATGTAACGTTGAGAAGTGTATTATTGTGTTTTAAGCTGCCCATACACCTTACAACCATCGCATGACTTTCGTTATGCGATGGTTGTAAGGTCATTAAAATCTCGTACGATCTGCCAATCTTGGACAGGCAGATCGTTTTGCGATCATTGCAAGCCCGCCCCGCTGAGGGGAGGGCTTCCGATGATTGCAGTGGTGAGCGGGCAGTGTGCACTTGCGCACACCGGCCCATGCGGCATTCGTCTTCCGACCACGCCACCAACTCGTACGATTTCCGGCAGGTTTTCCAGCGTGCTTGGAAGACGAAAGTTGTACGACCTTACAGTAGAAGTGGTCGTACGCTGCCCATACACCTGCCCATTATCGTACAATCGCCCGCAATTATCGTGCGATAATCGTCGGGTGTATGGGCACCTTTAGTTTGTGTATATTAGAGCCCATTCACACCTACAGTATATTTCAGGTGTGTTTAGAGATTCCTGTGTCAGGAACTTGCGTTTTCCTGCAGCAGGAATCCCTAATCTGCCGTTTATAAGCAGCAACTATCATAAGATAAGAATTATCATAAGATTATTTAAGAGGGTGTGTTTAGGGGTGGAGTTAAGGCCGGGGCAGGGTAAGATGGGGCAACTGGTGGCTAGTAACTCTTAAGGCCTGGCTAGTAGCTCTGGACTTGAAATTTTGAGCCTTGAGTACCTCAATTAAAAATTTAGGAAAAAACTAAAAAGATTGGGTAAGCGGTGGTTACAAATTTAAAATATTTGAACAAGACAAATAGCTCCACAAAGTTTCTTGATTCTTCTCTTGCAGAACTAGAAACTTCTTAATGTCACCATTGGCCTTTATGCCTTATTGGTAAAATTGAAGACCCCTAACCCTGGTACTAACAGGTATATAGTGAGCATAGAGTTGCTCAATTTAGAACTATGAGGTGAGTGAAAAGCACTCACCTCATAGTTCTCCTTTTTAAATTACTGGTCTGAAACTAGTATATTGGCAAAGATTTCTAGGTCAGTGGCAAAGTATTCAAAGAAGGTCTAAATGATAGCCAGGCAACCAGTGTTTTCAGAAAGAGGGTTCAGCAATGGCAATGCTTGTATGACTGACCACAGAGAAAAGGCAGGCCTTACTCTTAGATGAACACGATTGGTCTGCTGGTATCACAGCCTATTTGCTTGATTAGGCTAGGACATCTCAACTGATTTTTACTGTTGTGTTCCCTTCACTTTCTCTTAGTACTCTCCAGAAGAGGGTCTCCTTCCAGTAAGTGACCAGGGCCGGGCACTGATGACCCACCCTAAAGAATGGGTTTGCATATAGTCCTTTCTGATTTTGTAGAGGAGGTATGTACATTTATCTGTCTCAAGTTACCTTAAAGTGACACTTAAAGGGTTTCTAAACCCTCCTGTTTTTTTTGCGTCTATCTACTGCTGTCAAGCAGTAGATGTAGGCAAACCGTTTTTTAAAAAAAACGCTTTAACAGAGGTTTATACTTACCTTATTTTCGCTGCGCGCTCCCGCCTCAGAAAACGAAACTGTTCGGGACGGCCGCAAAGCATCTTGGGGCGGGCGCATGCACAGTTCGGTTTCTCGGCCAGGAGACTAGCAGAGACGCAAGGTAAGTCTATGGACGCATGCACCCGCATGCAGACACCGCTGGATCGGAAGTGCCAGCAAGCAGGGAGGAGGCAGCGCTGGATCGGAGAGCTGCCGCAGGGACAGATGAAAACATCAGGAAAGAAGATCGGATTAAGAGACATCATTTAAGGTAAGTGCTGACATTAACATTGGTGAGAGGGGCAAAAAATGTATCCTTTTAAAGTCGCTTGTCCTACGGTGTCTGCATGCGGGTGCACACGTCCATAGACTTACCTTGTGTCTCTCCTCATTTCCCGGCCGAAAATCTGAACTGCGCAAGTGCCCGAGCCAAGATCCTTTGCGGCCGCCCGGGATTTTTCAGAATTTCGTACGGGAGCACACGGTGAAGACACGGGTAAGTTTTAACCTGTTTGAAAGGGGTTGTTTTGTTTTTTGTTTAAGTTTTTGCATATATCTACTGCTTGCTAGCAGATATATGCAAAACAAACGGAGGGTTTAATAACCCTTTAACTATTAGCAAAAATGTAACTTGTGTATCGGCTGTAGATCCTCAAATCATCTCAATTGTTGCTGACACTGTCCTTCCTTCTGTCCACCACTATATGCTAGCTCCTGTGATGGACAACAATCTGAAGTTTAGTTGGTTAATTTGTATTGTAGTTATAGTCTTGGTAACCTTTAATCATGGAAGCAAACTTGGAGCGCTGGCTACTTTACAACACACACGGGGACCATGGAACAAAATTGGAAATGTTTTGAGGATCTACAGCTAAGTACTACAGTATTTTTAATAGTTCAGGTACTTGAAGGCATTTTTAATATTTTAACTTGAGTTTGTCACTTTAATGTATTGTAACTGCAGGAGTTAAAATCTTAAAAATGCCTTCAAGTAACCGAACTATTAAAAATACTGGACCTTATTTATAACTACCCCTTTGCAGCATATTCCATAAAGATTTGGGGTATTCACCAGAATTGTTCTGAAACCCATTAATGTACTGCTCTGTTTTGGAATGCACTGTTCAGCAGTATATCTGCACCTGTACTAAAGTACAGTTTGTGTTGGTTTAGCCATGTACAGTATGTGAAACTTGTTCAGTGGTTAGGCTGATGCCAAGAATAGCAGTAATAATTGGGCAGTATGAAAAGACAATATTGCCAATGTGTAAATGTGACTATTTCTTTTTGTGTGTATTTTTCCCCTTTTTTTTTTTTAATACTTTTTTTTTTTCTTTGCTCTTATCTTTATCTGATTTTTTTTTTTTGTCTTTTTGTTTTTGTTCTATTCCTTAGGTACTCCTCAACCAGTTTATTTTGTAATTTGTCATCTTGCTAAGCAAGCAGCCCCCCTGGTCCCATCTGAAAAGCTATAGGTTTTGGCCAGGCATGAATTTTGCAACATGAAATTTTGAAAGCCCATTTGCCCATTTAGACTTCTAAGACTTGAACTTTAACAGGAAGGTCGACAACTCCTCAAGAACTGGGCGGATTAAATCATTTTCCAATGTGCAAAGCTACTGAACCCAGAGTTGAGATCCACTGTAAACACACTGCATCACACTAAGGGAAAACAATGACTTTCTGATTTATACATGAACACGTTACCTTGTTTCATTCAGCAGGCATTTTGCTTCCTTTTTGGATTGACATGTAAAGAGTAGGAAAGTAGGACAAACTGCTGTCTGTAAGGAATATGAAAACCTTTTTTTGGAACTTCATGCTAGTCTTCTCCACTTCTTCTCCGAAAGTGTTAATACAGCTGGTGACGTTTATTTTATGTATATTTTTAGTTGACTCATTAAATAAAGGGTTCAATTTGTCATGTAAATGGTTTGCCATATTTAAGAACCGACTGTCAGTTCTGTCGGTGTGCTCTGATAAATTTGCAAACTTTTTCTTTTTTTGCATACTTTTTTTTTTTTTTTTAAATAACACATTTAAATGTCAAACTTTTCAGATGTCCTTTTGTAACCTTTTTAGTTTTGTATTAAAAACTGTCAAAAAAAAATAAACAAAAAAAAAGTCTTATGTGCTGGTAACATGAAACCAATTGATTACCTGTGTGTGCAATTGCACTTGCATGATGCACTCCTGTCTTGCTTTTGTCAAACCCTGTTTATTTGTTACATTATCTTTATATATAATATATGTATATATTTTTGAGGTTAGCTTTTGAACATTATATATTACAAAACTGCTTTAAGTATGAACTAGCGCTTTATTAATTATTCACTTCTAAAAATTGTTTTTTTTTTATAGTCTTTATAATGCACCGTGGGAGGTTTCACCAAACGGACCTTCCACCTATTGCCATGTTTGAATAAAGTGTCAAGCCAAGTCATATTTTTTTTTAGTCTTCTGTTTGTTATAGGTGCTTTCTTTTACTCAACTGTGCTTACTTGATAAAGCCCAAGTGGAGTCACACCAGTGTATACACATAGATTAGACATTGTACTACCAGCCTCAATAATCAGTAGCAGGGTGTCTTTTTTTTTTTTTTTTTTTTGTGTAAATTCTTTATTTAAAAAGGTATTTTTCCGTATACAACGGTTTTTCCAAAGGTGTCAAAATATGTACTAAATACATGTCATTATTGCTCAAAATATACATCAATCATGGACAAGAAGGGAAAACATAACGGGTAAAACAAAAATATGGAACAATGGAAAAGTAGGTGTCACGGCCTAGACCCGGATGATGGCATAGGGGCGTAAACTGCAGCCTTCAGTGTATAACCACGCTTGCAAACGGCATGAACACATATCATGGAAGGTTTATTATACTTCTAAACACACTCCATCACAATAGAAATATTGTAAACAATTGCTAAACTTATTATACTTCTAACCTGGCTAGAGCTAAAAATCCCATGTTGGCCACAGTTTCAGCAACAGGCAAGTTACAATATAGAGACAGAAGGGGAAGAGAAATGGTTGGTGGATAATTCAGTATCTGAAGACTGTCACCCAACAAACAATGACAGGTTCTTGCAGAAAGTAGGCAAAGGAGAGACACTTTGGAAGACCAACAACAAATAAAAGTTGGAAAACTCCTAGAAACTAGTATGTACTACACACATGCATCACTAAAAATGTGCACACGTTGAATAACACTTTTTTTTCTATTTTTGATTTATAAAACTTGGCACTTAAAATGAAAGAGAAGGGCTAAATGTATAAAGGTTGTTAGTCAACTATGATGGAAATTTTCAATGCCAGTTGCTTAATTTCTGTAATCGTTCCTTATAAAATTCAAATCTCATGGGTTCCCATAGCCTAGATTCAATTCCTGCCCTCCGCTGCATTAAGCACTCATTCACACCTATATTTTAGGTGCAATTAGGGATTCTTGCAGCAGGAATCCCTAAACAAACCTAAACTATAGGTGTGAATGAATATATGTCTATATAATATATATAGTTGTAGCGCTCACCCCCGAAGGAGCCGCTGAATAACCGGATATTTCTATCCCCCCTCAATAGTCCTGGATAGGTGGGGATATAATTAGGACCTTTCAGAAGGATCTTGAGGACAACGGGATGATTAGGTCGAGCATCCTGCAGGATTTGATCTAATCGAGTCTTGTCAACTGCCAGAGGATCTACTCCTTTCTTCTGCACGACTTGTCGTAGCACCTTGTCTACTCGAGCCACATAATCTGATAGCTTCTCTCCTCTCTACTGGTGAGTGTGCTCCAGCTTGTATATTAAATCGGAGAGTTTCTCCACCCTTTCAAAGGCAGCACGTAAGGCATCCATGTAATCTGCGACAGTGCAGTCCTGCTTGCCTAACCTTAAGTTGCAGATCTCTGCAGCTGGTCCCCTCAGGCTTTCAACTATTCTGTTTCTTTTGCACTTCAGGAACATCCCACTCCTCCAGTGCCTGAGAAGCTTGCTCCACCCAAGTCTCAAAGTCTTCTTCCCCTGACGGGACGGGAACCTTCCCTGAATAGAACCGTAGTTTACGATATCCATAATGAGGGAACTGTGTTGTATTTCTTGCAGAGTTTTCAGCCAGTTTCCTTATGTCCATGAAGAAAGAGGCTGGTAAGCTATTTGAGACCAACACAGAGGAGTCATTCACTTCCATTACATAAGGCATGGTCTCACTGGACCCTTCTGAAGGGCTGGCTGACACCTTTAGTGGGAGTATCTGTACTCTGGTTTCAGGAGTAAGTAGAGCGTTGTCTCCCTGGAAACAATCAGGAATTCCCTTATTCCATTCTAACAGTGCATAGGTATGAGAGTTTTCTGAGTCCCTCTTCATATCTATCACAAACACCTTCTGCTTAGGTGCTAACAAGGTCACTGCTTGGCGAACCTGATCCTCGGTCCAACTGCCATCAGGGATGTCTATGCTCATCTCGAATTGGCCATTCTGGTCTTGATCCATGTTACCAATTTGTTCTGTTGGTGCGGTCATTCTCTGGTGAGGGGGGTCAGAAAACTATCCCGGACGAGCCCCCAGATGTAGCGCTCACCCCCGAAGGAGCCGCTGAATAACCGGATATTTCTATCCCCCTACACCAATGTACCGCCCAAAGCGTGGATCCACAGCACACCAACACACCTTTGAACAGTTTTATAGCAGATTTACTGACAAATCAGAGATGAACAACTATGATACAATAGTAATGACAGAAATCCCCAACAATAATGTGTATCAACAGGCTGAGGCACTCTGCGACCCAGTAACTGCAGCTATCTGCTGTCAGTACTGAGGTATGTGAGGCCAATTGTCTCTAAAGGCTTTCCCCTGAATGGGGTGTATGTCCCTTTAAGGTCTCCCTTTAACAATGTCCGAACCTCCCTATACTACTGGCCAGTAGTGGTGTCCTAAGCTAGCCGGCGTTGGGGCCCTTACTGTAGTGCAGATATGAACAGCAAACAGGTTGTCAACGTGGCCAAAGGCCTCTCACCAATCCTCAGGTCAGTTGGAAAGATATGAAGACTGCTGGCAGGAACTGGGCGTCATCTCTCTCTCTCTCTCTCTTCAGTTCAGGCGACATAGAGGGAAGTCATCTGGGTCCCCGACAAAAGGTCCTCACCCATCCAGGATGTTTGCAGTCCTCTCAATTGGCTCCGTCTGGCTCCCTCTCTCTCTGCTAGGCTGGCTGGGTCACTCCGGCGGCTGGTTCAGCCATGCGACTAGGCCTCGGTTCAGGCGCTCGAACGCAGTCTCTCTGGTTCAGCAGATGAACATCCGTCCTTCAGAGCGCTGCTGTACAGATTCTGTGTGTCCCAATCTGTCAGTGGGAATCACACAGCTCTGCTGCATGCAGTCCTAATTCACACAGTGCCGCACACAGGCCTGTCTCCTCCAGATCCCCCAGTCAGACTCGGCACGCTCAGTCACTGCAGTACATAGCCCTCCTCCTTCCTCTCGCACAGCATCCTGGGAGTGGTAGTTCACAAGAGCTCTATTAGCAATCCCCAGTGTCAGCTCTAGGGTTGCCACCTTTTCTTCAAGAGAAACCTGAACACTCTAGCGACGCACGGAAATTTTTATGAGAGAATGAGCTGTGGCTTATTCATATGTAAATATCACAGTTGAGACTATTCTCAGTGGAGGGCCAGTAGCCCCTATCTTAATTTTGGTTGCCCCTGTCTGCCTGACATCTTGTGTCCGGGTTTCTGCTGCCATGAAACCCGGACACGGCATTCAAAACCCGAACTGTCCGGGTGAAGCCTGGACAGGTGGCAACCCTAGTCAGCTCTGCACTGCAATCCCCACAAATCTCTGCTTCAGATCACACACAGGGCAAAGTTAACTCCTTACAGTTAGGAACAGGAATCGCTGTGATAGCACATATATGTATATTATATACGGCTACATTGTCATGTGGCAACAGGAAGAAAAAAAAAAAATTCCTTCATGAAGTATATAAATGATTTCAAATTAGAACATGGCTGTGTCTATTTAAAGGAACAATTCTACTCGGCACTACTTTTATATAAATAGTTTCCTTATCTGTGATGACACTAGGTGAAGTGCGTTCCTACACTATGGTACAAAGGTTACAATGACTAGCTGTCACATGTGTATATTACTGGCCCCTGTGATGATTGACAATTGACAATCGCAGAGTAAATGTATGCTTTTATTTTTAACTGCATGTCTAGACACTGGTTTAATGTAATTAGTACCAGAAAAGTCCTCTTTCTGTGTCGTATGCCTACGACTTCAATTTGTTTTGTTGCTGTCTTGCACAAAAAATACTGACAAAAATTAAACTGTTTACACTTTTAGAGAATTAACATTTGTCAATGTCCTACTTTTGTGTAGCAGATAAATTGTGAAGTCTGTTCTAGGGAGCTTTTTAAGTTTGATGGCCCCTATTTTGGTAACCAGACAATATTTTAATAGGGTGCAATAATAGCAGCCAATCATGTTGTCATTTAGTCATTGCACTTTCCTTTTTTTATAGTCCCCACACTTATTTAAGTTCAACTAATTCCCGACTGCTAAAAAATTTACAGGACTTGCTTAATATTTTAGAATGTAGTATGTCTGCCTTTAAACAGTCATGGACCAAATGTTGCTTATTTTGTGCTTGTCAGGATTTATCGCTTTAGGCTATGTTCACACGATCCGCTGTGCGTCTGCCACAATTTTGCTGCGTTACGTTTTTAAAAAATAAATCTTAAAATGGGCTTTCAAGTGCAGCCCAGTGCGTTCTGTGCATTTTTGACCGTTTGTGCGTTCCAGACAAGAAAAAAAAGACACAGATGACAAAATCCCGGTCAGAAGTTTTATCATCTCCTTGCTCTACTAAAACTATGTTCTGTTTTTGTATACTGCTGTTGGAGAGATTTCCCATCTTTTCATGTCCTGAAGAGAGAAGAGAGACTCGTCCATAGAGTTCCGACCTATAGGGGGGAAAAAAAAATAGAAAATCTTATATAAACAGCTTTATGCCCACATCTGATCCAAGGAAAACCCTTTAAAGCATGGTTCAATTTGCTCCAACAGGGAAGACAAAAACCTAAATAAAACATTTTTGCTGGAGTTGTCCATTATT